CATTCATCAATGCGATTATAATCATTATAAGAATTGATAAGAGCATTTGTATGTGTCTTGAAACGGTCAGTTGACTTTAAAACCGTATTGAAAAATATGAAAATAGGCATGTAATAATTTTTAATTTTGTTTTTATTAGACTAGAACAATTACTGTATTTTTCAGGTTGACGCATAATTACCCTGACTCAAGTTTGTACTACTATAAAATTTGAGTAAAGCATTTCACTGGATTAAAATTGGGAGTGCAAATCTCAAATAATTCATCAGTAAACTGGCCAAGTTTCAAAATTTTTGATCGACATTCAGCTGAATTATCGCTTGTCAAAGTTGATTCATTTCATGAAAATCACAACCGTGTGCAAGGAACATTTCCCCTTTGAAAAATTATAACAATCCCTAGACTTGAGAAATCGTTTTGAAATTTTTAGTAGCTTTGAATCAAGTGTAAAATTATATTTCTACCACCGTTACTCCTGAATTTTTAGAATTTTCAAAAAATCTTTTCATGTAACTCCTAATTTTCCAAGAATTTCCCTTCTACATTCTTCTTCCCTTTCATTCTGTTTTGATACACATTACATTCCTTCTGTATTCGCTTTTTTGCCCCTCCTCCATTTCACCTCGTTTTCGTTCCTCCGTTCCAGCTGCCAATTGTCAGTCAACAGTCACATGTTGACCTTATCAATCCAATGAAAGAAGACGTTAACAACAGCAAAAAATATTTGGGAAGGCAAAACGAAACGAAAAATAGGATCATAAAATGTTAGAAATAGCAAGGAATTTGTGCTTATTTGATAACAATTCGAAACGATTCCACACCCAAAATCAAGCACCTTTTTTCTTATCCTCCCCCTAAAAACATTGTACTAAAAAGAAGAAGGCAGAACAAAAGGAATTTGCTCTTTTTGATAAGATTGTTGTATTAGGGAATGATAGCTAGTGCAACTAATAAACGAGAAAAAAGGAAGTTCCGCAAAACGGCTCCACCTCTTTTTTGTATTGTTTTACAAATTTAATCAAAACAACTAATTCTATGTTTTGGCTTTCAATCTGTCTTTATTGTTCCAGGCTCTCTGAAAATATACTTTTCTTTTACATCAAATAAGACCGCCGAACGGTATACTGTATTTCTATAAAACCGAAAAGTCGGTAATTTCCAAAACATACAGTATACCGCGGCCTTATCAAAATATGACGGTAAACATTACCAGCAAACCGTTATGCAAGAAAATTCTGGGACTGGCCTATAAAGTTGTCAAACTCTGATGGCATCATTTATATTTACATTCTGAAATTTTGCACAATATTCGAAGAATTGGCAAAGTTCAGACGTTTTCTGATGCCTTGTTTGACTATCATCTCTCTGGAGTGGTCGTTTTGAGAGTTTCTGTCATGATTTTTAGCTTTTTCGAGGACAAACTGTACAGAGCAAAGTACCGTATAAAACATGTAATAGAAGGGCACCTACGTTGTCAAGTTTGAGCTAATTTATCTTGTTCCCAGGCAAGATATCAAAAAATGTGTCAATTGACAAAACACTTTGATATTACGATGAAGAATTTTGAAGTTGACAACTTTTTAATATTTTTCACAGAACCGAGAAAAATTGGTATTAAAGGTGGTGTGCGGTGAAAAATTTTATTGCTTTATTTTGTGCAGAAATCCATGTAGATCCCCATAAAAATAACGAAAAAATTCAAAAAAAATCCTTCATTGAGAAAAACGGCGTCGAAAAGTCAAAGTGGGAACCGGTGGCCTAGCGGCCAGGTGTGAGTTTTCTAGACCAACTGCCGGTAAAAGCGCGCGAAATTGGAACTTTTATTGATTTTCAGTGTTTTCTCAGATGTCTTTTAAAGATTTCAAAATGTTTTTGTTAATTTCCTCCCAGGCGTATGAAAAAACCACCTTTAAGTCAAAAGTTAGAGGCCCTACAGGTTTTACGGAAAATTGGCCAGAATGTCTGCACCCGATGACATCCCTTTGATCCTTGCGATTCTTTCTTAGCACATTCAATAAGCCATCCACTATCTCCCCTTTGCTTCTCCCGTTTGCTCTTCTGTGCTCTCTAAGCACCGCCCCCTTTCCCCCTTCTACCACGCCTCCCACGTCGATCCTCCGTCCATCTTATTCAGTGTGTATTTGATGCATAACAGGCGGAATAACAACGATGAACCGCCCCATCCATGTCGATCGTCACGCATATCTTCTACGATCTTCCACTTCTTTTCTTAATATTTGGCTTTCATTCTCATCCATCCCCCGCTTGTCCCTTCTCTATTATTTCTCTTTTTCATTCCAGACAACCCTCAATCCGAACATTTATTCAGAAAGAGAAAATGAGGAAAACACTTGTGATCTACACTTGCTTTATTATCCCCCACTCTTATCCCCACCCTCTTTCTCTTTTTTTTTCTCTTTCTTTTCCTCATTTTCTTCACACCATTATCATCATGAGTGACATTATGAGTGACTCCTTTTATTTTTATTATGAGTGACTCTATTTATTTTCTTTCGATCTCAGAATCCTCCATAATGACGTGGCAAAAGCGAATGGTGCCTCAAAGTATCTGTACTCGGTATAGAAGGCAGCCATCTGGTTTTACTGGGTCATTTGGTATCTCTAATTGAACTAATTACTGACCCCAAAAAAGTGAATTTTTAATTGGAACAACAACCTTCCCACATTTAAAAGCGTATAGGGCCAGGTATTTTAGGAAAACTGACTTCTCTAAACTAGAGCAAAAGGTCCTCTTTTTCGGATAGTCCATTTTCTAAAACTGAGGATCTGATCCGTGAACGTCCTACTAGACCCCTTCCTGGTCACCCAGTAGTCCTGCCACGCGTTCCCTGCCAGCTAATCGACTCCAAGTAGCACTTTAGAGTCAATTTATAATTTTCCATCACTCTTTTTACGGTAAGTTCCTTCCCAGGGGGATACCCATCACTCTCCATCAATTTATAGCATTCATCAGATCTAATCTAATCTAACGAGTCGTCTCATCATAAAAAGACTAATTAGGTGCAAACACCCCTATGCGGTTCCCTTTTTTAACGTTTATCTAATCTGAAGGTGTCATCTTTGCCTCCAACATATGTTCGCTTTTTTTCGTTTAGTTTCTTGAGTTCTGCGCGTAAGTCTGGTTGTGTAACCCAACTAACCCACTTCTGGGTGTCAGAATATAAGTACTTCTTCGTGTCCTCGATTCTTCTCCGTCACCGGATCGGTTCGAGGGCATAATTGCTAATTGCCCCTTCTCTTTTGGCCCCCGGCGCTCGTGTGGTGCCCGGATAATAACCGTCCTGCCCGCTTTCCCGGGTTGGGACGAAGGCTGGTCATTCGATCATGTTTACTCGTCGACTAGCCATCCCAGCCCCTCTCACTGTCTATTCTACAGCTACTGCTGTCCTATTCAACCAGATACATAGAAAGAGACAGCACACTGTCACCTCATCATCCCTCATTATCTTTTTCTCCCGGGGGAGAGAGGCTGTTATTTTGACAAATGTTGCACTTCATCTTTTCTGATCCCTAACCGAACATGTGTCGCTTGTTTGGATCAAGTGTTTTGCCAATGATTTTTAGCTTTATCACACCCTCCAATGATTTATATTTATTTTTCTTCTTCTTCTTGTCACATGGGGATAATATTTCCAGTTCTCAGTTTATTATAGATGGCTTAATTGGAGATCAGTTTAGATTCTTTCCTTACCATTCATTCAATTTTCAGTTTAATTTTTGGGGAGATTTGAATAAATTTGAAAAAATGGTTAATTGAACACAGGTCCCTTTTGAGAACCGCTATAGTTTATTCAATTTACTTGGGTGTTTCTAAAAAAGAAAGCCCGGAAAATACCGAAGAACGCCACCCAAACCATCAACTTTGAGCCTATATATCTCGGTTCCTGGAAATGATATCAAAAAATGGTCAACTGACAAAATATTTATGATATGGTGATGAATATTCTATCACTTAACTTTTAATATCGTTGACAGAAACCGAGATATATGGGTTCAAAGTCGGCGGATTGGGTGGCTTGGTGTTTTCGGTATCCCTAACGAACAACTAAAAAAACAATTATCTAATCATTTTGTTCGATTTGCAATAATCCAAAGTCGATGCATTTATAGTCATCTATAGTCTTGTTTCAGTTCTATATCTCTTCACATCTTTCTATCCAAATATCGTATTCGCCACCTCCCACCACCGAAACCGCTTCCCACTCATCTTCATCTCCTTTTTTTGTCTTTCGTCTCAAATAAGCTCACTGAAACGGAAAAGCCAAATTTTTTGTTTCTAATACTTCCAATCTTCATTATTATTTTGCTACTACTTTTTTCTTTCTTTTCTCAATTAACGCCTATCCCGCATAGACTGACTTGTTTCTCGAATTATCGTCCGACAAACAAACAAACCAAAAAGGAGGGGCCCTACCCTCTATTCGTTTTCTGATTCCAGTTCTCTTCATCATCATCATCAGCTAATCACTAGTCGGAAATAGTAGGGGAAATAGAAAGACCCAGACACGACGTCAGCTAATCACATCCTTTTTCTCTTGTCTTTTCTGATGCTTTTGCCATTTCGAATAAGGGGAAAGAGTGTGGTTGAGGTTGTAAAACAAAACACAGTAAAACAGAAGAAAAGATTGATTGTTACATCCGTTTGTCTTCGTTTTGTATGTACTCAATACTCTGTGTTGCTTCTGCGCACGACCGAAATCGAAAAAAGACATGCTGTAAAATAATCTCCTATTATCTCAACTACTTCACTTTCTTCTCTTTTCCTTACTGTCTTTCTCTCACTTTCTGTTGTGTAATATGTAACCCCTAAACCGTATTCCATCTCTCAATGTACTTGTTCTTGTTCCCTTTGATTTTTATTTCCTGGATCCACTTTGGATTACTGTAGGTCAAACTATACCAGCTCTTGACCTTTGCCCTTGAAAAAAAACTTCAAAAAAAGGGCAATCAATTCTATAATCCAATTTCCAGAACGTCCAATGGAAGACCTTGACGCGTATCGTGCCGCCTGTGCCAACCGGATTCGTCGTCTCGAAAGATACAAGAAGGCTCGAAGCTTCTGTAGTCTGGAGACCGAGGAACCAACGTCTTCTTCTCCGTCTGTGAGCCCGAATTCAGATGCACAAAGTGGTGATGGATCTTCCACATTCGATATGATTCGCGAGAAGATGGTAGGTTCCTAAAATACTTTTGAACGAACGGTCAGGATGGATCATTTGGGTGTGAAAGGGAATAATATTGTTTTGATTTGTAGTGCAAACAAATTCCCCTCCGTTCTTCTCCTCCTAAATTCTCGTTCCTATCGAGCTCTAACACCAAATTATGCGGTCTTTATCCGCCCCGGTCTTTTGCATGTTCTCACCCTCACTTTCTTGACAAACATACGGTGTGAATAGAGTCGGTCTGAGTGGGGCAAGATGGAAATTGAGAAGACTTGGCGCTGAGGGAGAAGTAAACATGAAATACAAATGTACAACACAGGCGGTAAGGGATCAAGAAGAGTCTAGGGGTGAAAAGATCCTTTCAAAATTACTTTGACCTACTTTTTAACTATTTCGGAAGATGGCTTTATTCTGAAACGGGATTGGAAAACCTTTTGATCGAAAACCGTACAAAGTTACGCGGTACGTTCTAGATTGTTGAAAGACTTTCTGCCTTCAGCTACAGTAACCTAGATCAAGATCTATTTTCAAAACCCAACGAAAAAGTTTCGCAACAAAGATCTTCCGATCTTCATAGCATTCTTCGAATTCTTTAATTTCTTAATTTACCTTCCGTTATTCAAATTTTCACGCTGCAACACCTTTTGCAAAATTTCCGCTAATTCACCCCGCAAAAATTGCGCCATCCTCTCTCCTCCTGACACAAAAACACTAAAGATGCTTTTCTAATAATCCAGTTTTGCAAAAGCCTTGGCATTCCATACATCGGTTTCTCCTCATCTCGGATTCCTGTTGTTCGAATGCTGTGGCCCTTTGGCTTCTCCTCTATTTCTCTCCGGGTAATTAGGAAAAAAGAGATCCGTCGGCGAGATAAATGACGCAACTGCTGGCTGGCTGAATGCCTGTTGCCTGGGGCAATAATCGTGGGGGGACAATAGCCATCGTCTGGGACACTTTCCCGCTTCTTTTTCGGTTTTCAAAGAATTGATGGCAGATGGTATGCGAAACGGGAGCCGCGAAGGTCATTTCTAGGGGGAGCAGATGGACACAAAAACCCCCAATCGCCCGTTGCCGCATAAATCATTGGGTAGATTGGAATTGCAAAAGTTATAGCCCTCTCGAATCCAATGACCCGGGTGGGAATGGAAGTTCACCTCAGTTCACTCTCAAGGTTAATTGTCTAACGTTTTTGAGTAAACAGTCAATGACACCAAAACACTCGAATGAGAAGTTTCGGCGGTCCCCTCATCTATAGATCCGCTCTTCAGAAAACCGGGTAAATATACCAGAGAGTGTTGAGTGCACTAAAGGGATTGTCAGAGTTTGAATAGTAGAAAAAAGTTGGATATCTTCTAGCGGAAAATAAAACTAAAAAACATCAGCCCAATGCGGGGCTCGAACCCGCGACAACCAGATTAAGAGTCTGGTGCTCTACCGACTGAGCTAACCGGGCTTCGATGGCAACGGGTAGTTAGTGTCTTGATGTTACATGCGTAACACGTGATCATTCGTTTGTGTTGAAATGAGACAAGAGAAGGTTATGGGTGAATTTTGAGATCACAATAGGTGGCTAGCGGCAACATCAAAAAATCAAATATGAAAAAAATCACAAAGATTATGAAGTCACAATAAATTACATAATGTTTGTCCAAAACCAAGAAGGTGCTACTGATGCACATTTCCTTTATCGGTTTCTGATGACGTCACAATAATTCTTGTCATATTTGCAGTTCTCTTTGATGGAGAACGACATGACCCTGCTGAAGCAACTCCTTCAACTCGGCGATCAAATTAGCGAGATCAAAAAGGAACGACTGCGAAGGACAATGTCACAAAACAGTTTGGAATACGATGAAGAGGATGAAAAAGAGGTTTGTGTCTTTTTTTTTTAATTTTTAATAGAAAACAAATTTATCCCATTACAGGACAAATTCGACTCTGATCAGCATGGATTCTCGGCTTCAATGAGCGCAGTTACCAATTTATATGTGGATGATAACGTCCACAATTCTTCTCTCGTCAGAATTCCGTTCTTCGTATTCCGATTCCACCAAGAAGCAGTAACCGTTTCGGACCGAGACGTGTTATAAGAAGACCATCGGATATTCTTCCACGTCATCAATCAAACAACATCAGAACTCTTCATGTGAATAGTGATGATTCGGATAGTGGCTCAACTGGAAGCAAAACTCAGTGAGTTTAAAATATTTTTTTTTCAAAATCCCCGAAACAAGAATTTTCTTTCAGTTCTCCAAGCAGTTCGGTTTCTAACGCATCCACCCTGATTCTTCCATCAAAGACTACCAAGAATCGGTAAGATTGTCGGGAAATCAAATTTTCAATGAATTTTCTTTTTTTTAGATCTTCAAACTCTTCCATCGATTCTGGCATCCGGGATGAGGATCAAATGACCCCTTCTCCAACATTCGAAAGTGTTGTCATTTGAAGACTCCACAATCTTAAACTCTTATCATTTCATCAGGTCTTTTTCTTCATTTCTAGTCGTTTCCTTTTTTCGTACCTCATAATTTTTACTGGTTTCCACATCCAAATAGTCAGATTCCTCTCTTTTTCACCGTTTCATTTTTCTGTTCTTTTGACATTTCGCCGGTCTTTGAGTCGTTCCATTCTCTTCCTTCTTCCCTCCCTTCACATTTTCCCGTTTTCAAACAGTTTAATAGTATTTTTCAAACTTTTCAATAAATTCCTTGTTCATAATTTGGTCACAACAAACTTGTTTTTGTCGACAAGACAATTGATAACCGGGTTATCAATGTTTGAAACGCATAAGAGCAAAAAATGTCAAAGGTACATAATAAAAACATCGTTTATAAACTGATGTAAGGAGAGAGCCAGCGCACATAATGGCCATCCTACGGTTTCTTATTTTTGCCGCACTACTCGCTGGCACCTACGGGAAAGCGGAACCAAGTTACAATGAAATTGTGAGTGTATTCTGTCTTTTCTGATTTTTAATCGCTAAACTTTAAGAAAAATAAGTTAGAGGTTTTCGGAAAAACTAGGTTCATGACATGAACTTCATACACAAGATAGTTTTAACGTACCAACGGCATCGTCAAAGATACCGGAGAGAGAGTGTTGAGTGCACCAAAGGGTTTGTCAGAGTTTGAATAGTAGAAAAAAGTTGGATATCTTCTAGCGAAAAATAAAACTAAAAACATCAGCCCAATGCGGGGCTCGAACCCGCGACAACCAGATTAAGAGTCTGGTGCTCTACCGACTGAGCTAACCGGGCGGCGATTGCAACGGGTAGTGAGTGTCTTCATGTTACATGCGTAACATGTGATCATTCGTTGGTGTTGAAGTGAGACAAGAAAAGGTTGTGAGGTGAAGTAAGTTGACGCGCATTTTGTGAGACATAGTTGCTAGTTAGTTAAAAAAAATCTTGCTTCAAAATTCAGTTTTCCGTCCGATCCCACCTCCGGAAAAAAGTCAGCAAAAAAATTATTTTTTAAAATTTTTTTTAAGCATTGAGAACTCGATATTTATAATTCAGCTTGAAATTAGATGCTATACACAACGTTTTTTCAAAAAAAAGCTTTTTTCCTAAATTTCGAAGCTGGCGCCAACTGTCCGATCCTTCCTGGCCTCCCGGGCCGGGCCGAGCCTTGACCAACTTTTTGAAAGCCCGTTCCGTTGCAAGTATGGTTTAAGCCGTAGTTTTTACAAACGAGTTTTTTTTGAGTTGCCCGAAAAACCTCTCAAACATTTGAGGATCGGTTCCTGCAATTGTTCAACTTCTCACTTCCAACAATCAAAATACCGGACCTTCTGAAGCCGGAAAAGACCGAAGATGCGCCGGTATGATTTTAAAAAAAAGCTTCACCCATTTGTTCCATATATTATCCCCTGAAATTTCTCCTGTTTTCGCTTTTCCGTGTGTGGGTTTTTTCTCAATATTTCATAGATTCGAGAACGGATACCACAAGACAAATTGATCATTATCGGACAGAAAACGGTAAGGGAAAAATGAGATTTCGATTTGAGCGATAATTTAAGTTTTTACAGCTCCTAACCCTTCTACCAATTACGTTTCCATTCATGTCACAAACGGTTACCTATTTATTTTCAGCAATATCAGATAAAACTTCCAACTCTTCCACCATTCAAAATTCCAACCATTAAAGTTCCAACTGTATGTTCTGTAGTAAATTAGCTTTCGGAGAATCATGAAACTTCAGCTCCCACATCTTCTCCCATCCGCCCTTCCAACATTCGCTCCTATTAAAATCCCAACTGTCAAGCTACCGACAGTCCGTTTAAGCAAATCCTAAAGTTCGACAATTTTAAATATTTCAGATTCCTAATATTCTTCCAACTGCTCTTCCAATTAAAATACCAACAATCAAATTACCAACCGTTAGTTTGAAAAATACTGTAAATCCTCTAGTACAAGTCGTTGCAGGTTTATACGGCCACTCATGTTTTAGGCATAACTTTTGAGCCGTGAGAAATTTCAATCTAATTTATAAAAATTCAAATTTGTGACGACAAATTACATCTAGTGAACAATTTATGAGAATTTGAAATGACCGTATAAACTTGCAGCGGTTGCAAATGGCATGTTTTCAGATTATTCAAGTTAACTCGGGCAGATTTCAAGATTTTCTCTCAGAAATTGTTCACTAGATGTCATTTGTTGTCCAGTTTGAACAATTAAATTAAAATCCCCGCCGGTTCAAAAGTTATAACCTAAAACATGAGTATAAACCTTCGACGCACTGTGGAAGGTCTCCCGAACTGCCAAATTTGAGCCCCAATATATCGGTTCCTGTAAAAGTTTTCAAAAAGTGGTCATTTGACAAAATATTTTGGCGAATGTTAGTGAGTGTCCCTCTATACTTTTGTTCATAACTTTAAACTTGTCCAATCATTGAAAACTTTTTTGTTAGATGTAGCTGGGTTCCCAACAAAAGGTTGTATAAGTTTTTTGAAACTAAATCAATCTTTGTGTCTTCTGTATTTTCACAGACGTGACGATGACTCCAGAAGAAAACACAAATTTTCCGTCAGAATTTTTTTAAAGATTGTCTTTGTGATGAAAAATGCTTGGCGTATATCAAATATATACACAAAAAAATTTGAAGCGGTTTGGAACACTTGCTCTTGATATGTGCTCACTGGAGCATAAAAGGTATGACTTTGGAGTTTGCCTATAACTCGGCTCAAAATGAACCAAATTTGCTCAAATTTTGAGAGAATGTGTGTCTTGAACTACTTTACAATATACATACAAAACTTCGTATTTTGGAAACATAAAATTTTTTTCATAATACATAGCTTGTCTACGGTACATAAAAATGAAAAAATAAACTTCTGAACCATACCTTTTATGCTCCAGTGAGCACATCTCAAGAGCAAGTGTTCCAAACCGCTTCAAATTTTTTTCGGTATATATTTGATCTACACCAAACATTTTTCATCACAAAGCCAATCTTTAAAAAATTCTGACGGAAAATTATTTTTTTTCTTCTGGAGTCATCGTCACGTCTGTGAAGATTCAGAAGACACAAAGACTGATTTAGTTTCAAAAAACTTATGCAACCTTTTGCTGGGAACCCAGCTACATTTAACAAAACAGTTTTCAATGATTGGACAAGTTTGAGCAAAGTTATGAACAAAAGTACAGAGGGACACTCACAAACGTTCGCCACTGTATGTAAGCTCAAAGTTGGCTGTTTGGGTGGCCTTCTATTAGAGTGAATACGATAATTTCGACCTTGCGATGTTTCATTATTTTTCAGCTCCCTCACATCCTTCCAACCCCTTTTCCTCCAAAACCAAAGGATTCAGATGAGGTGAGATGTCGTGTCTCTTCCTTTTTCACCCCTTACCGACTGTTGCTTTTCCAGTGAGTTTACAGATCTATCTGAATTGCGTTTATGCTTTCAGAACGATGTATTACATTTCTTGCGAGTAATTTTCAAACTTAATTCGATTGAGAAAATTAGAAACAAATGTTTTCAGAATAATGACGCAGATGTAGCAGTGAGTTGTGAATCGTCCAAACCTGCACTCTTTCCTTTTGTCCGGTCCTTCAATTTTGGAAATAAACCATTTGAAATCCTGAATTCTTCCAGACCAACATCGTTTGTGATGTCTGTGAGTTCGCTGTCACTAATTTGAAACTCAAGTTTAGCACTCTGGAAAAGAAAGTCAGAAAAGTTTTGTCGGATACAGTATCGGTAGGGATCAAAATGAATTTTAAAACAATTGAAGATCAATTTTCAGAAAATTTGCACCAAACTATTGGAGAACCCACAGCTTTTCATCTTTTCTGTTCCATGTAACATGATTCAGACAGACCTCATTAAGAATGTATTCGACCGTCTGGACAAGTTCGAAGAAAAAATTCTTCCGACGACAGTTTGTAAATTCGTTCCATTCTGTAAATATCCGAAGGCTTGAATTCGAATTTTTCATTTTTATTGTGAAATAAATGTTTGTATTCTCCGGTCAGTTCTAATGTTCTGGTCAGAACCGAAAATTTCAGATTTTCCTTGCCGAAATTTTAGGCCATAAAACTGATTTTTGTTTTTTTTTCCTTTTCGATCATTTTCTCCCTATAGTAATCCATTTCATTCCTTTGAAAAATTTTGCTACAGTAATCTTTTCGCTTTTAAGTATTTTGCCCTTCAGTAAGCCTTTTCAATTTCGAATATTTTCCCATACAGTAATCCTTATCGTTTTTGAATATTATGCATTTCCTTGAAGTTTTAAAAGGCTTCAATGAAAAACTTCATCTATCCAAATTCGATTCATTTTTATCATAATTAAAAATTAACTATCAAAACAATAAGTTCATTTACAACAAAAAACAAGTTGAGATCATGAAGTTTTCTTAGTATTGACCAGTTTTTTCCAATGCCTCGGGAAATAGTCATGAGGATTGATCTCTTTGTGTTCTGGGAAGGCTTCTGGATCCAAATAGAAAACTGGACTGTGCTCTTCTCTTGCCAAATATCCCATCCACCATCCAAAAGTTGAATATGGAGATGTCACTAATACAGCGTCACAATATAGTCTAGAGAATGTTAGTTGAAGTTCTGGAGGAGAACTGACCAGGGAAAACTGAAAAAAACAATCAAGTGGATATGAAAAGAAAGATTGGAAATCACCTTCTCAATGTCAAATTTGGTGATTCTGGGATCTTGAAACACTTGACGAGAGAATTTAGGATCTGTTGCTGAGACCACTAGCATCACTTTCTCTGATTCTTTGGTATCTGGAAACAAGAGAAATCTTTTGACATTTTTCTGAAAGCTTACAATGATTCAGAACTTGTGAAACAACTTTGATGGTGAAGTTCTTCTGTGTCTCAGGAGTTGTATGAACGCAGAATCTAAATCATCAAAGATTTTAAATTTTTAAAACTACAGAATCTCACTTGAAGTTATCCCGAAGAGATTCAGTGATTAAGTTCCTTGCTTCTTGTACATTTTCAGCGTTTCCCATCATCCAGAGTCGAATTTCAGAACGAATTTGATTAAAGTATTTGTAGCTTTTGAAGCCGTTTCCTGTAAGAAAGAGTCTCTAAAAAGTCATGAAAATTAGATGAACCACATACCATCAACCATGATACTCAATGTTGCGTATTCTGAGAATTCTTTGATCGGGTTTTCATAAGGAGTGTCGATTGTCCCGAGTCTTCCATTTATTGGTGTTATCTGAAGAAAAAACATAATTGGAATTTTAAAACTGAAACATACAGGTTGGATAACAATTGAAAACTGTTGAAGAATCGACGGAAATCGAAGGACCACAACTTTCGACAGCTGATCGATCAACGCCGAGTTGTTGACTGTATTGATAACTGGAATCCGACCAATTGTTCGAGCAACACCGATATGAGAAAACAGGGAAAATAGTTGATGGCCTGAAAATATTTTTTCTAAATTTCCGAATCTTTGTCCAATAACTTACCAATTGATCCATTCTGATGATTGAATTGAATGGTTTTGGGAGAGGGATAATTAGAAGAAGCTCGAAAAAAAATTAAAAGTAGGACAGCACTTGAGATAAGGCAAAATAGTCTAACTGTATATGGGGCACGTAGTTGCATTTCAGCTATACATCCCTTTAACTGCGTGGGTAATTTCAAGAATATACCACGTGGAAGATTAGGTGGGAGTTTTAATTCAAAAATGGGAATATTATTCCACGTGGAAGTTCAACGTGAATTTGCGTGAACGTGAAGAAAAGTTATTTTCAATTGGAGCAGACAAAGAAAGAAATTTAGGTTTAGAGAAAAAGAGAGAGAACTTTTAGTGATGACAGCAGACGTATTGATAAGAAGGGCGTATACCAAGATGGGAGTGAACTTAGTTTTTTAATATGAATTCTTATTTCAAGTATGCCAAGCATTTTGGTTTTCCTCACTTTTTTTAATTTTATGTGTCATGCTTTTTTTGAATTGTATTGGATATCAGTCGGTTCCTCCCCTCCGGGGCTCCTGGCCTCCGATTGCAGTAACTGTAATCGTTTAAAGAGATTCCGTCACTTTTAATCTGGAAAATTATTTTCAGGGTCTAAATTCGAAGATTGGGAAATTTAGAAATTCGAAGTTTCGGAAATGAAATTCCTACTTCGGAAACGCAGAGTTTCTGTAAATTCGGAAAATAAGATGTTCAGGCACCTGAGAATTCGAAATTTCGCAAGTTCGAGTTTCGGTATTCCGAAAACTTTAATTTTAAAATTCAGACAATTATTTCATATTTTTGAAATTCTGAGTCTCCGAGTTTCTGGAATTTCAAAGTTCCGAATTTCAGAATATTGAAAATTCGGAATTCGGAAATTTGGAAGATAAGAAATTGAGAGTCCAAACTCGAAGATTCAAATTTGAAAATTCAGCGATTCGGAAACTCTAAAATTTTAGAATACCGAATCCAGATTTGTTTAACTTTCATGTTTCATGCTTTTTTGAATCGTATTGAATAGTCAGAAGAACTGTTCATTATATTGAATTTACAAACTGACCAAAAACAAAATAACCCGTAGCTTAGCGATAAAACAAATTGAACAAAATTCGAATGCCTGAAATCATTGTCTTATCTGGCGAAGCACTGGATTTACAAAAAGAGTATCTAATTAAAAGCTACAGTTTCTACGCATTTGATAGATTTTGAGCTGCTTGAGGTGGTGTCAACATTCTCGCATTCACGAAACAATCGGGAAGAGGTACGACGGCTTTTCTGAATCCAGGCGCCAAGCGTGGATCCGTTCTAGACCAGAACGTTGGGCGAAGCACTCGACGTGGGCGTCCAGGTTTCAAAAGGCAGACTGCACAAATGAGATAAATGAGAACAGCTCCAGAAGTGACGAGACATCCGAGGAGGAACATGAATAGAGAACTTCGAAGAGCAGCCGAGCAGCCGTTCACGAAAGTTGGTTTGAGAGATTCTGAAGCTATTCGAAAATGATAAAAGAGCTCTGTGGAAATGAGAAATTACCAAATGTAGCAACCAAATCTCTCGAGTCAATGAAAGTGTTAATTGAAGAGTGACCGGCAAAATTGTTGATATTGCATTCGAAATATCCAAAATGATGGTATGAGAAGTGAGAGATTATTAAAGTTCCATTTGGATAAGAGTAGTAGTCCGACGAGATATGAGAAATCGGAAGAGAATTCTGAAAGTTGAGATTTTGTTGTTTTTACGAACTCCCATTTATTCTTACCACAGTCCAAGTGACTTTTGGAGGTGGATGGGCTTTTGGAACAGGACATTTTAAAAGTAACGGTCTTCCGAGAATTGGTACATTTGGCTCCACTTTTATCTTTTCATTCTCTGAAACCTCATCCACGTAGGCCACTTTCAACTGAAATACTTTTCCCCATTTTGAATCGTTTGCTCGTTGACAATAATAGATTCCCTCATCTTCTTTCTGTACATCATAAATCACCAGAAATCCAATATCAGGAATTCTTTCTTCTCCACCTCGCGGAGCTCTTCCATTCAGTATCGCATTTTTATGCCCTTCCACAACGGCGATCACATTCTTATCTCGATACCAAGTGGCATTAGAAGACGTGTAAGGTTCGCATTCTAACGCCGTCGTCGATCCGATAGGGACAAGTCGTTCGGACGGTGTCTTCTTTGGTGCCAATGTGTGAATGGATTCTAAAATAATGGGAGTGAAAGTTTATGGGGTGAATACTTAAATGAAGATGTTCGTGTGGCGCCTCGCAGGTCACAAATACAAGCATTTTATGGTTTATGGACGACGGTGTGCCGACTGGCGACATGTGGAGAGGTTGTCGCCTTTTTATGGGGTTTCTGTGTATGGAATCATATATCCGTCATAAGGCTTTTCCGGGTTTTTGGAGAGAGAGAGAGAGAGACAAAAAGTTGGAGATACGGTTATGAGGAAATTGCCTATTTTTAGACTTTTATTGTGAGATTTGAGCAAATAAAAATTCGAAAACCCTTTCTACAGGGTAGCGCACAATTACCGGGACAGATAAAAACGGGTATATATTTTGATATAAGTATTTTGGAAGCACGAAAATTGGTATAAATATAATTTTATGTTTTTTGAAAACTGCTGAAGTTTTCAAAGCGATTCCTCAAGTCTAGATATTTTTACGATTCCCTAACTATAAATATGAAATGTTTTTTGCACGCCGTTGTGATTTTCATGAGAGAAGTAAATTTGACAAGCGATAACTCAGCTGAAAGTTAATAAAGTAATCTTAAACTTGGTCAGTTCACTCATGTATTTTTTGCTTTTTCATATCCCAAATTTGAGCCCAGTACAACGTTTTTGTCAAATTTTATGCTAGTACAGACTTTAGTCCAAGCACCACTCGGTAAAAAAAAATATTCAGACTCTATTTGGCCTAGTGCAAACTTGGAGAGAGTTCACCAGTTGAACTCTAAAAAAAAGCACTCCTAGAAAAAGCACACTCTCCCCCTTCTTGTCGAAAATCATTTTCTAAGCAATTAGAGATTTCGTTTTTCTTTGCCGTCTGTCGGAAGCAATATGTTTTTGAGCGTCCATTAGGCGAATGCGCGAGAATCCGAAAATTATAGGGTGTCAAAGCGATTCAACTGCCAAGCCTCTCTCCTCAATTAAGCATTTTGGGACGTTAAAAGAGAAAGCCGGTTGACGATGACGGAAAAAATAAAAACTAACCTGCCGACGAAAAAAGTAGAATCAGGAGACAGAGCCGATGGACCATTATGTCTGAAAAGTTAATAGGTTTTTATGAGAGGAATAAATATTATGGAAAAAAAAATAAAGATAAGAATAAAAGTTACACGAGAGGAAGAAGAGGAAAACGGTATGGGTCGGGGAGAATCGCCGTTCGAAATCTGAGATGTCCGTTTTTCGGTCATCTGTCAATGGAAGATGCTAATCAGATGAAGGGGATACTCTTGTAACACATATTTGGAATTCGACACTTTTTCGGTAAAATCAAAGAAAGAAGTCGTGGGTGAACTGGAAATGATTATTCTGGTGTCAAGCTAGTTCTGATTGATGGAGAGGGTGTACAGGATGGCGCACAACTGATAAAAATGGGTATCTTTAGGCATACGTATCCTGGAAGCACGAAAATTGGTTGAAAATTAATTTTACGTTTGATTCAGAGCTAATCAAATTTTCGAAGCGATTCCTCAAGTCTAGATATTTTTATGATGGACCAAAAATGAAATGTTTCCTGCCGTTATGATTTCATGAGATGAAGCAACTTTGACAAGCGATAACTCAGCTCATAGTTCATTAGGTTGTTCAAAACTTAGCCAGTTTACTGGTGAATTATTTGCTGGCATACACTCTAAATTTGATCCTAGTACAACACTTTACTCAAACTTCATGATAGTACAGTCTTGAGTTCGGGGAATGATGCGCCACCCTGTAGATCTCGGGATTTTCCAGAAAATGAAGGAAATATGGGTTCTAATTAGTCCAAAAATTTTTTTAGAATGATGAGTTAGAAGTATTTATGAGTTTTGGGCGGTGCACAGAAAACGCCTGGAAAACGAACGGAAGTGTGTCATAATTAAGATGGAGCGGGATGTTTTCAATTAGAAGACTCATCCCAAATCTTGACTCTCTAGATAACTGGATGATTCAGAGGAGTCAATTTTAAACATTTTATGCAATCCACACGTTTTTCATAATGTCGTGTTTACTCAACGGAAAAAAAAGTAAAAAGTCGGAGGAGGATATCTAATAGAATTGAATAGTAGAGAAAACAAACAATTGTTGCGACTTTCCACTTTTTTCTCCAATGGATCAAAATTGTTGAAAAAGGAAATTAGAAGTGGTATAGTCGATTTGGGGTCTTCTTCTGGATTATCATAACATTCAAAAGTATAAGGAAGAGAAGCGTGTTCGTAGCTACTAAGCATACAGTAATAAACCATCGCATTAGTAGATCATAAAACGGAGAAGGATGCAAAAGTCGAATTGCAGATGGGCGAATAGTGTGAGAAATGAGGAGATTTCGAGAAAACATGTTCCACACTTTTCGTACTTGATGCGCCGGATATGTTAATAGGATTTTTGGAAAGAAAACGGAGAAGGAAGTGGGCCAAAAAATGAATGGATGTGTCAAGAAAATGGTTTTCTAATATCTATTTTGTTTTGTTTTGATTTTTAGGGAGAAAGAGCAAGTTCTGTATCTGGGACAGTCTCAGGGACAACAGGAGCAGCTGAGCATATAATCCAGGCGCGAGAAGAAAAAAACTAAAAACAAACAGTGAAAAATATTCCTAAAGTGTACTTTGGCTTATAGGAAAAAAACTAGAACCTCAGGTTTCAGATAATAAAATTCTTAGTAAAATATATAAGTTGAGAAGAAGGCGCACCAGTCAACTGCTTGGAGCGCCAGAGGCGCGGCAAGCAGGCTGATGTTATAAAAATACATAATTTTGGAACATTTTAATGCAAATTATTTTAACTTTTTAGGCCGGAGTGCCCTTTTAAGATGTTCGAGCTTGTTCAGAAATCATCTGACGGACTGAACGAGCATTTCAGAATAGAAAAAAAAACAAAAACAAAGAAAGATCCGAAATCTGGCGCTGCCACGGAAAACCGAAAAAAGTGAGCATCGTTGAGTGGCATGCCAAGAAAATGAAATGTTCTTTCCTTCTTTTCTTATTTTGGAGACACAGAGTCTTCTTCTTCGTCTACCGCCAAACAACACGAGCATCCGACTAGAAGCTAATTAGAAAAATGTGTGGAGAAACGAGAGGACATCAGGAATACCAATACAAGGAGGGAACCACCACGTTGACATACATATAAATAAAATGAGATCTACTTTGGAAAGACAGGGAGGAGGGCACCGCCACTTCGTTTTTTTTTCTGTTTCGTTAAAAAAAGAACATATAACCTGATGCAGAATAATCGTATAATTGTCGGAAACTAGATGAAGAGGAGGAGAAGAGAGGAAGAGGTGGAAACGGCCAAAAGGAAGCTCCGCCCACTTTTTTGGAGGGACTAACTGAAGGTGGTGATAAGAGGATATTTCGAGATGGGAATGGGGGAATTAGCTAACCATATAGGAGATTATACTTGGAAAATAATACAGAAAAAACAAAGGATTCCATATATTGTGATGTTCAGAAAATAGGGTTTCCTAAAAACAGCTGGGACAGTAAGACTCGAGAGCAGAAATGCTCCATTCCCGAAATCCGGAATATTCGGAATTACCGTAAAACCTCTCATAGTAGCCCCCCCCCCCCCACAACATCAAGTTAAAACCGATTTATCTCGGTTCCAGTAAGAGAAATCAAAAAGTGGTAAACTGACAAAATACTTTTTATATTGATAAACAATTTATCAGTTGATAACTTTTTGATATCTCCCCCATGATATCGAGATGAATTGGCTCAAAGTTAAACGCAAGGGGTGCTCTTCTATTACAGGTTTTACGATACTATTCTAGAGTTCTCGGAACATGTACCGTAAAACCTGTATTAAAAGGGCCGGCCCTTCTATTGTTCCAAGGTGCCTCCGGAGGGCCCTTCTACTACAGGGGCCCTTCAATTAGAGGGGGTATTTCTATTTTTCGGTCAGTTTTCCCGAAATTAAGCATCGAAAAATTCGACGAAGTTTTTTTCAAAATTCATGAAAATCTACCAATTTCACCAATATTTAGCAGATTTCCAGCGAAAAATAGAGTTTCAACAAATTTCTATTAAATTGTGAAGTTCCCGGAATATTTTCCACCGAAAAAGTACGGAAATTTTCTGATTTCAAAATAAATTTTGAAGAGGAGTCTTTTTTTCACAGAGGGCCCTTCTATTACGGGGCCCTTCTATTTTTCCAAGCCTCTCTCGGAGGGCCCTTCTATTAGAGGGGCCCTTCTATTAAAGGGGCCCTTCTAATACAGGTTTACGGTATGTCAATTTTTTGCTTTCGCGATAAGAGAGTGGGATTCCAAAATTTCCGAAATTCCGAAATGGTTGAAATTGGAATATTCCTAATTTTCCAAATTCCGAAAAAACACTCCAAGAAAATTGCGAAAATGCCATTCCGAATATCCCTGCTCAAGAGCAAGCTATTTTGTGATACATTAATTACGTCAAAAAAACGCAAACAGCTCCAAATTTTCCAGAATTCCAAAGAATTAAAATCCAAGCATCTTTCAATTTTCTGAAGAAACAATTTGCACAACGTCATCAATTGGCAATGAAATAGTCGTTGGGAATATACGCGGAAGGAGGCGGAAAAAGTTCATCTTGAATTCAGTTGAAATTTGTGTGCATACAGAATTTGCGCCTTTCCCCTCTTCTACTCACTGCCGGATGGATTCATTCATTTATATGGATGAGCGGATGGAAATGAAGAGAAAAGAAGAAGATGAAGACATGAGTTTTGTTGGGATGAACCCTCAAAAGAAATGTGTAGTACTATTAGTAAGGAAGATCAAGACCTCCCTGTGTGTGTTTCAAGCAGAAAAAGAAATGCTTCTTCTCCTTTTTTCTCACATTTTTAATTGAATGTATACATTGCTCATGTCAGAAGGAGGTCGAGAAAAAGGGAAGAAACATAAAGGTATGGGAAAGAGAAGAATCAAAACAAGAATTCTGAAAGAATTTAAGAGATGGACGCGGTCAACTGTGAATAGTAAATTGACTTGAAAAAAACGAAAACGAAAGTGGTAGGTTTTCTGACCACCTCGAATACCTACCACGATTTTTTTCTAATCCAAACCTTTTTTACTTTTTCTCTTGTTCAGTGACAGCATGTTCGCTTGGAAAGCAGTGTCACCCATCAATCATTCGTCAAGAAGCCCAATAAAAAGCAGAAAAAGAGAAAGTGTTCGCTGTTGGATTAACCTAGAAATCAAAAGTAATAAGCTTATGAGACCCTAAAACTTTCCAAACTTCAGACGTCATAAACGCGTACATCATCTGGGAGCAAGATTCTTGCGCGCAGCGCGGCGGTTGTGTGTTGTAATCTGAGAGAGAAAGAGAAGCTTCCGAAACAATATCAATTGGACCTTCGGGACATCATCTTGGATGTGTTTGTTTCGAGAAAACGAAAGAAACAAGAGCAAAAAGAAACAAGAAAAAGTACTAATTTATATCCCTCGGGGGGCAAACTGGCAAATGGTTTTTTAGCTTTTCGAATTTGGGCGACAAATGACCAGATGGTGGTAGTATTCAGATTTCATTGTCAGTTGGGATCAGCCGAATGTTTATTTCGTTAGAAGAAGAAGGAAGAAGAAGAAGAAGAAGGCGGGGAAGGGATTAACGGTTAGTGTAAACCAGTTGGTGAAAATGATTTATGAAATGGACGAAAAATATTTAACGAACTACATATGTACCATTAGAAGAAGAAATCGCAATTGTAAGATCTCGGATGAATGGAGTACCGGGGAAGCTGGATTGTTTTCAGATAGGTACTCTAGAAGAGGTAGACTCGATGAAATTTTAATTTTCAAAAATAAAAAATTCGGAATTTCGGAAAATTCCACATTTTAAAAAATTACAATTTCGGAATCTCTGGATATTCCGAATTAAAAAAATTGGGACTTGTTGTTAGGAAAACTCCGAATTCAAAAAATCAGATGTTTGGAGTCTCAGAAAATTCTGAAAATTCAAAAATTGGCAATTCAGACTTTTTGAATCTCTGAATATTCCGAATTTTTGAAAACCGAAGATTCAGAATATCGGAAAATTCCGAATTTCAAAAATTGGAATTTCGGAAAATGCCAAATTGCAAAAATCGGAATTTAGGAACCACGGAAAATTCTGAACTATGAAAACATTGAAAATCTCGAAACCTCAAAATCTCAGAATATTTTGTATTTTCGAAGTCGGAATTTCGGAATCTTTGAAAATCCCAGATTTCAAAAATTTGGAGTTTCGAAGCTTTGGAATACTCCGAATTTTCAAATCTTTGAATCTCGGAAAGTAAAAAAAGGAATATCGGAATTTCTGGAAACTCCTAATTTTCGAAAAAAAAAGATCTTCAAAAATGGAATTTCCGATGTTTTGGGTTTTCAAAAACATCACGAAATTTCAACCTTTCGATAAAAAGTCTCAAAAATTCGATTGAAAGGAATTTCTGAAAATGATACTGATAGTGAATCCTAGGTCATCATGATCCAAAGCCACCAAGATACCGTTATCCTTTAATAAGTGTCGGATGTCAATTAGTAACAACATTCGAAAAAAAAGAGACCATCGGCAACAAAACGATGCTCTATTCTTTCCGAAAAAAGACAATATCGTGGTTCTCTCTTTTTCTTTTTTCCGGTTTACCAATTACTCGTGCCAATTGTCTTTTGATCGCATTCTTCCCCCCCACCTCTTCATGCTCAATTTCCATGCCGACTGTGTCCGTTTTTCAATAGGATTATGAGCCCCGAGAAGAAGAGGAAGGACCGCCTGGTAATTATGAGGATCAGAGAGGGGAAGAGCACCAAGTGGTCAAGTGGATAGGAAAAAATGAAGGAAGGAATAGAAGAATCGGTTAGGGTGTAAAGTGCGCAAGTACATCATTTGGGTGAAGGCGGTGGAAACTGATTGATAGGTTCGGGTCAACATATATTCTTCTGAGGTTTCTGATGACCAGAAGAGCTGTTGGGAGGAAAACATGTAACATAGAAGAAGGAGAAGAAAATTTTTGAATATTTTAATCCTTTTTTTCAGATACAGTATACACATGATCCAGGAGCTAATCCTTTGAGTAGCAACACATCTTGTAACTGGAAAACATACATCTGGTTGTCTCATTCGATTTGTCAACTCGTTCTTCTTGTTGCTCTATGAATACGATGTATGAATACAATTTATCCATTTAGCCAGGTGCATTAAAATGTGCCATAATTCATAATAGGAGGTGAAGGGGGAAGAGATTGGAAAGAGGGAGAGTTGCAATACACAGATTCTTCTCAATTTCAAATTTCTTTGTTTCAAACCATAAATTTTCACAGAAGTGAGTGTTTGAGGGTCTGAAGATTTATGAACTGGAGCTCAGAGAAATTGTTAAAGTGAAAAAGAAGAAGAAGAAAAGAAGTAGAGGGAGTAAATGGAGGATAAAAACGGCGGAGAGCTCGGATGGGAAGAAGGCAATTGAGGTGCGATTTATGGGGTGTCAATCGAAAAGTCAAATTTAAAGAAATTGAAAAGAGAGTTGGGGAATTGAGGAAACTGGAGGATAAGAATGGATTAGAGCGCTGATTGAAAATTTGGGAGATAGAAAAGGTGAGGCTCCGAGGATTTTATGTAGTCTAGGAAAAATAAATTGTATTGGGTTTGCGAAAACCTCTTATCAATATTTAAAGAGTTAGCTGTTTCATATTTCCACTTAAATCATTCTAACATTAAGTTGAAAAAATTGATATCAGATAAAGCTCGATGGACCTCAAACTGTTTATTATATCTAATAAAAATATTATCTAATTTTTGTAACCAGTTGGATGAGCTGATTGGAATTTTTCCGAACTTTCCGAGATTCCGAATTTCAAAAAATCGGAATTTCAGAATCTCGGAAAGTTCCGAACTTCTAAAAATCGGAATTTTGGAATCTCTGGATCGAGACAGTCTCAGTCCAATCGGAAAAATTTGAGACGCTCACTTAAAAATGAGTAATGAAAAAAGTTGGAAGAGAGACAATCGAGCGAACTTAACAAGAAATTAATATTCTCCAGCATCATTATCTCCAACAAAATACGACCTTCATCAATGTAAATGAATGCCCAAAAACGGTATGCGCGAGAAAGTGAGAGCATACAGAGTGCATGGTGGTCATTCAGCAGTTGTGTTTCTCTCCATTCGGAAGGAGAAATGACCATCGAAAAGAACTGAATGAATAAGTGTCGAGGACAAATAAATCATCGAATCGAGAGAAGGTGTTTGGGAGTTACTTGTGTGCCAGGAAGAAATACCAAAAGGGAGAAAGAGATTGAAAACAAAAATGTTATTGTCGTGAAAATGAAAGAAGCTCGAAAGAAGAAGAAGAAGAAGAATGTGGTTGGAACATGAATGAATACTAATGATGGGTTCCATCGTGAGAAAGGTGTGGATTTGTGATTCATTAGGTTTGTATACATGGGTGGAATGACTGGGGGGTTTATTTAAATATGAACCATGGAAAAACGAAGAAGCAGTGGAAAAATAATTTTAAAAAGAGTTAAAATATCAAACTTCTGAGCTCTCCAAGAATAATTTGGATAAAGCATTTCTGTAATTTGTGAAACTATTGAATTCAAAGCTCAAATTTCTATTTCGAAGAGATATTCTGGTATAAAAAAACAGTGAAGTGGAAGAGAAAGGCTGGTGGCCGTGTCTAAAGGTCCCACAACGACAATAACCGTAAGCTGAAAAAAAAGTATTTGCCAGATTGCTGTCCCCATTTTTTACTGATTCTTTTACGGTTTTGCTGTTGTTTTTAACTGAAAAAATCGGAAAATCCAAATCTTTGACAGCGAAAAATTGGCTGAAAACTCAAGAAAAATGAGATAATGAATACGAAAAATATTTGCAGGTTGCGGTAGTTTTCGTTGCGAGACCTCCCACTTCCATCAGCGTTTCTCTTCCACAGCTCAGATTTTTGGTACCAGAAACTTTCACTACAAAGAAAAATCCTTTGGATCTTTGAGAATCTTGTGAAAGTTAGAAAAGTGAGGCATTTTAACCAAATTGACCAAATCTCTAAACTATTCAAAAGAAGTTCCAAACGTCTTCTAAAATTACGCAATCTTATAAGATGACGAAAGAACATGGGGCGGGTCGCAAAGGAATCTTTCTTTCTCAATCTCTATTTGAAAATTTCAAAGACGAGCTCATTAAGAATCTTGAACTCAATTCCCCTCCCTCACAGGGATGGAAATTGCGCAGTTTGTCGGGGGGAGAGCGGAAATTGTGGGAGAGAGTTATGCTCAAGACTGATTGCCTATCGGATTGAAACGAGAGTTGACACCTCATTAGCATAGAAAGATGCGCCCCCTGGATTGACGAGTTTCGCAAACTAAGAGCCACTTCCGAAATTTTGATGAACAATTTAATGAGGAGAGTTATGAAATGAGAAGAACAAGTAATTGGAATAGTTAGGAGCGGGCAAATGAAAAGGAAAAAGGAGTAAACATGGTAAATAAATCAAGGGAATTATTAGTAAATGTTTCATGAAACTTTAGTTCCTAAAATAGTCAAATTTTTGTTACCGTACTTGTTCGTGCCCTCCCTATATGTGCGCGTTGAGCTCAATTATCTCGGTTCCTATGAGAGATATCAAAAATCTGTCAACTGATAAAACATTGCTGTGATTATGATTAAAAAATCATCAATTGAAACTTACTTGATATCTTTTGAAAGAACCGAGATAATTCAATTTGAAGCTGAAGGGTGGGATTCTATTAGAGCAAATACGGTAGCTTTATTTGCTTGCACAAAACTACTGTAATTCTCACGTAAACAGTTGGTGGAAAAAAACGTTAACCGTGTTCCACTGCTTCCATCAAATGCTTTTTTTTTTGCTTCTACCCTCATTATTATTACTATCAATTCTTACCATACTCACTTCTACTTTCAATCTCGGGCGATTTCGATCAAGATGGTCATTGAAAACAAGACGTGAGTTTCTAAAAATCTATTTTTCGACACAAATTTTATTTCCAGGAGACGTATCAAGCAACTAATCAAAGTGGACGTGAACCGAACGATTCCGTTGGATAAAATCTCGAATTGGACAAAGCATCTCGCTGACGAGGTGTTCCGCTCCATTCCGGACGGCGACGACGACGTCCGTGAATTCTGATTTTTTTAGAATCCCAAATTTTGAATTTCAGGTGGATATCGTCATTACTCTTGACTTTTCTGGAAGCTCGTGAGTGTTTTCATTTCTTCGGTTGATAAATGAAACTTTGATTTCAGCGGAATCCGAAAAACTCAGAAAAGGATGATCATGGATACATTGGAAGAAGAACTTCTTAGATGATTATTGATTTGAAAAAAAAACTGTGTGACATGGAGTTCAGAAAATAAAGATTTTATTTTATTTTAATGTGTTCCAATTGTTGTTACTTGTCATCGAAACTGTAGCTTTGTTGTGTCTTGCGTTCTGAAAATAATGAAAATTGGCTTACTGTAATTTTTGTTACGATTTGATCAGTTACTGTAACTGCAGCAGCATCGAACACAACAGCCAATCAGAAGGAGAGTCAGGAAAACAGCAATTACGGCGAGAGCAGAGAGAAGCCACGTTTGAATGTGCTCACAGCAATACATGTTGGCTCCACCACAACATGTGTAGTAGACCCAGTTGCTGTCTAAAACTTTAGAATTGAAAAAATAGATGGAGATATTGGAATTTATTTACTGTAACAGAATTTCATATTCCAAACTCCGAATTTCAGATTCCAGATTCCAGATTCCAGATTCCGAATTCCTAGAGAATTATTTTACTCCGGGATCTGTATTCCGGATACCGTTTCTCGAAAAATTCCGAAAAAAAACATCTCTGGTAGGGAGCAAAATAATGGTTACTGTATAAATTGATAGAGAACGTCTTTATAAGTTTCAAGCATTTCGTTGTACAATAGTTTGAAAAGTAACATACCCTTCGGACAAGTACTGACAGCATTTTCAATACTTGGACAATGCAAATCCATGCCGAACACCGGTCTAGGTCTAGATGATGGATTCATTGTAGACGATGGGATGTGTGTTGAAGATTCAAATGATGATGACGTCACGTCGGTTTCATTGAGAAAATCTGGCAGATCCGATGAATCGCCAACGGCTTTCGAGAGAGTGGTGTGGATTTTCATAGAGAGTGTCGTACAGAATATGAGGAAAGGAAGAACCATCTGGAATTCAGAGATTAGCTCCAAATTTGACCCCATATAATCCGATTCCTGTAGAAGACATCAAGAAGTGGCCAACTGATAAAATATTTATCATAATATCAAGATCATTTTATCAGTTGACCACTTTTTGATTTCTTTTACAGAAACCGAGATATATGGTCTCAAAGTGAGCGGCGAGAAAGTCAGGTTACTGTAGATTAATTCAATCTTTACACTTGTTCAAGTACACTTGACATTTTGGTATTTAACAATAGGGTTTTCGAAGAAAAACAAAAAAAAAAGGGAGAAAAATACGAAAAAGAGTATGAACCCAATAACCATGGTATAACAACATAAACATAGCGTTGGCAAGCAGAGTGAAAACGAATGGAAAAGCGGGAAAAGTGGTTTTCCAGCAATTTAGTCATCCCTTTCTTTGGGGTTGTTCTCGAATGACAGCAGACAAAATAGTGTGAGAGAAGAAGGGATTTAGAGAAATATTACCTTGTCAAAAAGTGTTGGAAATACGAGAGAGAATAAACGGGTGAAGGAAAGCAAAGCTAAAAGAAACACAAAAGTTTTTGATGGATTGGAAAAGGAAAGGTCCTCCGGAAATCTCCGGTGTGTTGACCACTGACGAAGAACAAACGATGCCAATCAGTCCGAAAACGACGACGTCTTCTCCTTCTTTTTACTCTCTTCTTTTCTTGAATTCTTTCTCACAATTAACGGAAACCGACATAATTGTACATGTATATACACACAGATATGGAATCGAATCCTTCATTTCTCACTCTCTTCCGAATGCTTTCTAATGGCGCGTTCAAAGTTGATTTCCAGGAGTAATTTCCTGGAAAAACGCTGTCCAAAGCTGGCATTGTTTTCCAGAGGCCTCCGCTTCGAGGCCCGCCGTAAATCGACATGAATCAACAGGAAGAACACAGTCAAAACGAGTGATACAGTATTTTACTGTTGCTGTAAATCTGTAAAACAATCGCAGCTTTGGACAGCGTTTTTCCAGGAAATNACTCCTGGNAATCAACTTTGAACTCGGCATAATGGGGAGAATTTATTGAGTGTGGCGACGGATCCAGAAGATTATATGCGACTTTTTGAGTAAATCGATTTTAGATTGGATATTCGAATTAAGAAATTCCTAGATAATCACCTAATCCAAATAACACAGAAGGGAAATTCGAATTGAAAAAACCGAAAAGTTTGAGTCCATGGAAATTTCATATTGTAACACAATCTGGCATATCGTTCAACAAACGGAAAACGAAAAGTAAAGTATCCTGAAGCATCTGTAAAGAAAAGGAGATTCGAGTGGGCGCTGAAAAGGAGAAAAACTATAAAAAGTGAATTTCAATTTCCATCTCTCTTTCAACATTCATCACTTTGAGGCAGAAAAAAATGCGGCAGCTTTTTATCTGTTCTTCTTACAAATGTTGCAGACTGATGCCATCGCCACTTGTTTCCTTTCGCTTTTTGAACCGAAGATTTCTATTAGCGCATCAGCTGAATCGGAACGAACATTATTCCGTTTTCAGGAATTTAAGAAAGATCTGATTTTTCCTTCTGCGAGATTCTCATTAATCCATCCAAGTTATTGAACTTTCCAGTCGATCGATGAGCCAAAAATGCATGTGACAATAAAATTTTTTACAAAACCATACATAAGAGTGAATAGTAAAATCTAGACGAATGAAAATTCTCGAATTTCATTTGAAATGGAACCATGTAAACAAAATAAGAGGGGACCATACATAAAATCCTATGAGCAGAATCAAGAAAACCTTGACGATGTCCTAGGAGCGTGATTAACAGGAATTTACGAAAAGTTTGGGGGTCTAATCTCGATATACTTCTTACTGCTGGTTCGTGGCGGCCTTGATCAAAGCTTCAGCGACCTGAAAATGAAGTTTTTATTTATGCAGAATTCACTTTTTGAAGTTAATTATGTCGAGATAAGGAAAATCAACATTTTTGTAAAATTTTAGCGATTCTTCACAAATAGAAGCCGTAATGAAACTATGACATACCTCGGCCCGAATTTGAGCTTCAGCGCGGGCAACCTCGCTTCCTTCTCCGGAGGCTCTCTGGGCAGCATCGAGTTCAGCACGGGCAGCTGACTCATCGATCTCTTCAACTTTCAAAACTTCTTCAGCAAGGACTTGGCATGATCCATCGATGTTTACAGAAAGGGTTCCAGAGGAAACAAAAAGACGTTGAACAGTTCCTGGAAAATCATCGACATAATATCTTCTATTAGTAATTTTCTAGGTATCTCACCCTCGTTAGTGGTGACAGTGACAACTCCTGGCTTCAAAACTCCGATGGTTGGGACGTGGTTAGCGAGCACACCAACCATACCAGCCAATGTTGGGACATCAACCTGCTTGACGACAGCGTTGCTGAAGACAGCCTAAATAATACAGATACAACTTTTAATCTTTAAAAACAGTCTTTCTCACGGTGTCTGGAGAGGCAAAAGTGAGGCGGAGCTCATCTGGGTTGGCGTTCTTGACTGGAGCAGCGGCTGCGGCAGCGAATCCGGTTGAGCGACAGCAGAGAATTTTTGGATAGTGCGAGCCAACATTTTACCCTCTGAAATGGGTTTTAGTTAAGAAAAGATAATGAGAAATCGAAGTGGCGACTAATTAAAGTTTGTTTAACGAATTTCACCTAAAATCTCAAAGATATTCGTCGGAAGCCCAACAATTTTGCATTAAACTAAGCTCAGAGGTACTAACTAACGAAATCAAAATTATTACAAGCGAAATTCAAAAAGAAGGTCCAAAAAACATTATTTTTTAGTAGAAAATGAACGAAAAAAAATTAGGTCGCCCGTTGTCCAGCGGAGCGCATTTGGGTCGTTTGGCAAACTAGGCCGCGGCCACCGATAAAAAAATGTTCTGTTGCAGTTTTTTGTGGAGAAGAGAATTGAGCAGAATTGAGGTTTTGGAATGCTAGGGGATTCAGGGAAATATAATATTTTATATTGCTTATGTTGTTTTTTATAAGTTGAAATGATCCGTATTGCTTGGTTATGTTCCATTTATATATCCGTTCTAGAATGCATTCTTATGGATGGAGGTGTTCCTTGCGACCAAAATGCAACTTTTTCTGAAAATACTTTTTAAATAGTCTAATCTCTAATAGATAAAAATCAGTTAGAAACTAAAAGTCAAATATATTCTTCCCGGCATAGATGACATCGCTTGGTCCATAATCCGGGGGGTACATTAAAAATGCTCTAATTTTTTTCTGATGTACCCCCGAAAGCCACCTAGATGCTTCCGGAGTATAGTCCGGGCCAATTCCAGTAGTCTTCACTGGAAAGGACAAAATCAACTTTTCGGTTCTAACTGACTCGAGATTAGACCCTCATGCAACTTGCTTTGGTGCACCTCCGGTGTATGAGCCAATAAAATATAACTTGTTGGAAGTTTGCAAAACTACCAGAAACACCTAATTCCAACTACCTCGTGACATTTTCCTTATATTTTTCCTTCCGAAAAAGAACATGTGTGTTAATGCCGTCAATGATGAGTTGACACAAAATTATCAGCATTTGAAGTTTGTTGCGGGAACGTGTCGTTTCATAGTAATAGTAAATTGACTTTTTATAATCCAGTGATCACATAAAAAAGATGAGAAACGATAGACTAGTTGATGATTTTTGCTTCATTTCATTCTGTTTTGTTAGTCGAAGAGAAATGGGACAGAAGATGTCCACTCTATAGTAGTGGAATACTGTATTTTTCTTTTGTTGGAATCATGAAACGGCCTTCAAACGAAGATGTTGCTTTCCTCAGTTTCGTATGACTCAAGATTGGAAGCCTCTGAAAAGTTTCCTAAACTTTTGGAGGGTATCTAACCGTGGAAAACGGTTCTGCTACTGATAAAAGTGACTAATATCTTGAGCAAACCTTTTAGTTGCAAATCACAATTTTGCAAGCTTACTTTTTGGTTTGAGAGTTACATGGTTAAATAGTAACGGAGAATTGCCTGCCTGTCATGTAAATTTTTATGGTTTGACACACCTTGGCACAGTTGTTTGGTCAGGTTTTTGATAACTGATAAAGTTTTTTAAAAAGTCAAATTCCTTAAACTGATAACTGATTTAGCAATATACAGTACCGGTAGATTAGATATGCAAAAACGTAGTTTTCAGTTGATTTTGACAATTCTCAGGAGTCTGGAGCTCGGCTGTCAGGTTTCCTATCAATTTGAAAAACTTGGAGTTTTCCAGATATTACCCGTTTTCTGAAAGGCAATCATTTTTGGCATGTTTTTGTACCTAAAACACTACAAATCGGCAAATAGCTGAAAAGCTAGAAATTTTCAAACCATTCTGTGAATGGAAAGTTACCAATCTAGGTCTGTTTTACACCGTCCTACGTTTTCAAAAAGATCGAAACCTTTACAGCCGAGCTCCAGACTCCTG